GGTCATCGCTGCTCCGAGTTTAAATGCATAAATTGCCGGCAGACAGACAGGCGGGCTGTGGGGTCGTCTAATTTGGCCATTCAAATTGCAGCTCAGACAAGAGGCAATCGTTATAGCAGCTGCTGCTCCATGGCGCATAAATTGCACACTAATTGTGTCCATTTCGGGGCGTCGCTTTGTATTCTCAGATACCCCCAACCACCCACTCATTTGCCCATTAGTCGATTTAATAAAACAAAATAAACTAAAACACAGTGGCGAACTCTGTGCGCAAGTGTCGTGGCCATCTTCAACCTCAGACAGAAGTCCAAGTCTGGATTCCAGAGTCTGTCTCTGGCGCTTTTCCCCCCACCTCCATCTCCACCTCCTCCTGCGCCCCCCTGAATTTTTCGCTGGCGTGGCTGTCGCCATCGCCTCGTGTTTAGTTTGGGTGTGAAATCTAATTTGAAAAGTTTGTGTAGTCATTTTGATGCCGGAGCGCACTCAGCAGCATATGCTACCCACCGCTCGGGTTTTCTTTTCTAATTTTGTTTGCAAGTCATTGACGCAATATTGCCCGGTTCCTCAAAACCCTCTAGCAACCTCCTCCAACCTCATGATTTCGAGCAGTTCTGTCCACCGGCTGCGGCTTCGGAATTTTATAAAAGCCGCACCGAGCACATTTGCCAGAAATTGAACGTGAGCATTCAGAAATTTAAATTAGAGTTTGCATCGAATAGTTTTGGAACAGGTTTAAGGCAAAGGAAAAAACCTTCTGTGATTGGTAATAATTTTATTATTCCCATAACACCCACAAATACAAGTATATTGATAACTAAACTATTGCTTTAGATATATGCAAGTACAGAATAGAGAAATAGTTTCTAAAGCAATGTACAAATGAAGCTTTAATACCTGAAAACCTTGACTTCCATTCTTTAATAAATACGAAATTTGCTGAAGAATATTATTTTAAAGAAACCAATTTAAAGTTAATATCCTTTAAGTCTGAGCAAGCATTCATACCTTTCTTGTTCTCGCCGCAAAGTCAATTCGAGGTGAAACAAATTTGAAAACTAAATTAAACTTCAATTCCTGAGACATAATCCCCAATGGGCGATAAAGAAATATACTCCACGGACTGAAAAGAATGGAACTGAGCGGAGCAGAACAGAATAATTGAGAAGACAGAAAAAAAGGTGGAAAAGAAATGAAAACTCATTTGGAAACTACGCCCCAGAGGTGGTGAATGCTCCCTGAAAAGTTTACAATTGTGCAGGGTTTTCCTATGCGTGGGTGGGACTTCTGAGAAGGATGGGGATTTGGGTGTTCGAGGACATGGGGCGGCTGCTGTGGAGCGTGGAAACAATCAACTGAAAGCGTTGATGGCGTCGACTGCTCACTGCTCACTACTCACTGCTCCTTTTTGCGGTCCGTGGCAGGTATAACCGCAATGGGAGGAGGTTGCGATGAGGCGATGAGGCGATGCGGAATGCGTCTGCTGGCAACAATGGCACAATGGCGCAATGGCGTCTGTAATTCGGAGCAATTGTTTCCGTTCTCCCGCGACGCTCTTGTCTGTCCCTTGGCGTCCCGATCAGCGGAGCGTGCATTTAACACCACATGCCGCCGCTGGCTCATCTGCAGCTCCAGCTCCAGCTCCAGCCAGCGATTTTGGCACCTTTTGGCCAGGATGGCAACGATTTCCCATAAAGTCACGTACCTTGCTATCGGGCGATTTGGCGAACAAGGATTTCTGGCAATGGTCGAGCAGCATCCCTCGGCTCGTTGGCTCGCCAAATTGTCGCACATTCTTAGGGGAGCTTCTTGCATATTCCGGTAAAAACCTGAGACCAAATGGACCAAGTCCGCCCTCGACGCTCGTTATGCGGGCGGATGGCCGTCTGTTTAGTACATCCCACTGCCTGGCTGTCCGTTCCTCCGGGAGTCGGCGTTTTGCATCGGAATTTGCTTTGCCAAATGCCGCCATTTAGGGTTGTGCCAATAAAAAAATGATATTTATGGTTGTAACGGCCGTTTTGTGTGTGCGCCCTCCCCCACTTCGAACCCGCCCCAACGCCACCACCCTCCCCGAAAGTCTGACAAGCCCATCCGAAAACTGCCGGACGAAGTATGCAAAGACATACAGACAAGCGCCTAGGCACAGTGGGGTTAAATTTGGAGAAATTTATTAAAAATAAGGGATGGGATAAGAGCTTGTTTTGTTTATTTTATATAACACCCGAACATCAGATTAGTCTATTTATTTTATTTATTTATTTTTATCTTATTATTTGTATTTCATTTTTCACACTATATTATGTTACACTGCCATTGCATTTTAAAGGCTTTTATAATTTATGTAAATACTTCACTAACATTAAACTATCTTTAAACTAATTTCTTTTCAGTGCTTGTACTCTTTATTGAAAATAAATTCAGAATGATAACTCTGTCACAGCTTGCAATCAACAAATTAACTTATTAAATCCCATATAGAGAATAGTCAGTTATCGGCTGTAGTCATGTATTAAAAAGAAATTGATAAGTACTTAGTTAAACTAAATTATTAAATAAATTTAAAACAATTTATTGAGAGATTGCAACGCTCCAATCACATGTATTTAAAGGTAGTTTAGTACTATTTTAGATTTCTAGACACTTTGCTTGTGATCTTTTCCCACTGGTAGGATCCACTGTGCGCAGGGGTTGTCTCGGCGCACAAATGAAATCTCACAGGCATAACGAGCTCATGACTCTTTGCCGGCAAGGGTTGGGCAGGAGCAAAGAAAAGGTGGCAGGAGCCAGGACTCTCGCACACAGACACACACACAAGGGCACCGACATAGGCAAATATATAGTGGCTGAGACTTGGGCACATACACATAGAAAAATATGGCACGTACTCCCCGAGAGCCATAAGTTTACGTTTTATATCGGGCAAACTGTGCAATATTATAAATTTTGAATTTTATCTTGGGCATTAGATTGCCAGAGAGTTGCCTGGTTGGCTGCGAACCTCCTTGCCCTTCCTCCCCCTTCACTTTTCCACCGAACTTGTGTGAGTTGGGTTGGATGGCCGACCGCCCCGTTCTTGCTGGGGATTAAACGAAAGGACGTGCTCGAGGGCGCAAGTAGGAGATCCTGGGGGCTGGGGGCAGGTGGATAATGGATGGCAACAAAGGGTGATTATCGCGATTGGCGAAATAGTTGGGTTGTGGCTGTTGCTGTTGCTGTGGGGCTGGGAATATTAATGCCAGAGGTATCTGGTAACTTTGTGCGTTGTCGTAACTTCTTGAACTTACTATTCTCTTTTCGTTCTCGTTCCCTTTGATATTTTCCAGGAGCCAGGACATATAGCGGGGATATAGACACGTCTTATGTGACAAGTGCTGGCTAAACGTCTGAGGTTATCGCAATCATTCTCGACTTCTGGCCCATCCCCGCTCGACAAAAAACCCCGGACAACAACAACCACCGAGGACCGCAGGACTCACGGGCCCACAGGACGACCGGAAGTGAGGAAAACGCTTGTAAAATCGGGAGTACACGAGTGCGAGCGAGAGGCGAGACACGAACGGGCCGAAAGGAAACGACAATTACGAGGACATGCCGGCTTGCTTTTCTGCTTTTCCTGTCTGCTCCTTTCAGTTGCGGCCGTGCAATCGTCGGGTCAACAACGCCGGGTGTCCGATACGGATCTACGAACTATATATCACCAACACTGGATTTATCTCAATCTGCATCACGAACTGCAGCGACACGTCTTTCAGTCACTTTCGCCGGATTTCATAGTGATTGTGTGCGACCTCGTAAACGTATACTGAATGTATCCTGAGTGTATCCTATCCGGTATACCTTCAGTATACGTAACACGAGGAAGCACGAGCAACGCGGGATGTGAAACACTTTTCCTTAAAACACTTAGCACTGTGATTAATTACTTTTACACTTTGTAACAATAAGTTTTACACACACTCTGTTAATAAAAATGCTTCAATAAATGCTTTCTTAAAAATTATATAACACTCGCTTACGAATTTTACTGGATGGCTGAAAAAGATTCCCGGCATACAAAACCTGTTGCTTTTGTTTTTTGAACCAGATGGATGAACAGCTGATATTTACTCTTCCCCAAGAAAATCATAATGGTACAATGCTGATGGATAACAATGCATTAATACATACTTTTCCTAGCGAAATATGAACTATATTATAGGAAAAACAACGGAATGTTTTCAAATAAATTTCTTATAAAAACTGTATTGTTTTGTTTTTAAATCTGCAGAATTTCGCAGATGGCAATCAAAATTTAAGGAAACGCCATTTATTTTACGAGTCATAAAAAATCTTTTTCGCCATAAAGTCACTTTAAATATGCGCATTTAAAATGTTTAGCTGGGCTCATAATGTATTTTTCAACACACAATAAACAATTTAAGGCATGCACAATTTGTTGTTTTTCACTCTGACAACTTAATCTTTGAAAATATTTAAAATATAGTAACTTTTTAATGGGACTTGAAAATTATACATGGAAGCGCATGCTGTAATAATAAAGAGCTCTGTAAATTTTAAATTTGACAATTTGATATTGGGGCATTAAATGTCAACATTTTTCTAACTTACGTTAGTGATACATATATTATATGAAAAGAAAATATTAAGAAACTATGCTTGCATTACAAAAAAGTTAAGCGTAGTAGCATTAAATATTCAACATTAAAAAGTTGGTATTGGTTATGACGAATCTTTTAATATTTAGAAACTTATTTAATAAATAAATAAAGTAAATCAACAGTTTTCGTTTGTGGCTTATTTTACAGCGACACTGACGGTCAGTCGGTGTAACCAGAAGAGCGCCATCTATTGCGCTTCTCTTGCACTTGTACCTTGTAGTGCGCATAATCGATTTCAAAGGAAATCCGGGGTTGAAATTCGGTTTCTTATAAGAACAGTATTACAAATATTTTGCAAGTTTTGCAAAAATAGGCACCACTGTTTTCAAAAGTAGTCATCGAATTATTTGTTGAAAATAATTTCTGGTATTGATCGCTTAAAATAAACAAGGAAGAGCATATGGTCTATGACTCAATTCAATTCTGGCGAACATAAGTAGATTTTCAATATTTATTTCTGTCTTTGCTTCGCCCATTCATTTTTTGTTTACCCTTGCAAAGGGTAGTTTTATTTCGAACGCCTTTTGAAACAGTTCACCCAGCCTATAGAATATGTCTATAAATAATGGTTTCACAAATTTCATAGCTCAATTTTTTCAAGAGTTAAAATAAAAAAATATATTTTAAATTTTGAGTTGACTCATAATTTATTTTTCATTTTCCAAATAACTACATAAATTCTATTTCAATAATTCCTAGGGAATATTTACTTCGCATTAAGGTTTTCCTCTAAAGTGTTTCTTAGTTGCCGGTGTCCAAATCTTGGACCTCAGCTGGCAACCAGTGCTCAAGTCGAGCATACAAAGTAAGTCAGAGATACCCCCGAATGCTGATAGGAAGGGGAGCGAAAAAGGAAAACGAGAAGGATGAAGAAACAGGGGGGACAACCGCAACGAAGGAGATAACGAAACCCAAAAAGAAACTTGTTCGGCAACAACAATCAAATGAATTTATGAGCATGCCCAGCTCTCGTTCTCCTCGACTCTCCCTCTCTCTTTCTCCCTCCCTGTCGTTTGGGTCCCCCGACGACCCGTTGCCATAGCAACAATGGCCGCTGCGAAGGAGCGCACAAAGCGGAGAGCGAGAACATTTAATTCGGCCATATTTGATTTTGGACATGCTGTCATTGCTCTCGATTTTCGGGGTGGGTTTTCGTTTCGTTTCGTTTTCGGTATCTTTCAGTGCGTCTGCTCCGTTCATCTTTGTATCTCTGTATATTTGTATCTGTATCTCGAGCCGGTTCCGCCGGCAAAATGAGATGGCTTTAACTTTAACCTCTGGCGCAATTTCCCGGCTCATGACTTTTTCGGGCACAATCATGGCATGTTAATCCCTTATTAATTTTACGATCTCGGGAACTGGGGAGCTGTGGGCCAAACACGTCTTTAAAAGCAAATAAATCAATTTCATGTCGTCTGAGACCCGCCTACTGTATATATTGCCCAAAATTAATATGCAACGAGAGGCTTATGGGCCTAAATGGCCATCGATTAACTATAAAATTGGCGATTTACGATTGCGACCATAAAATCTTGATTCGAGTTGGAGCAGCAACCGTGGACTGCCAATGGCAATCGGAATCGGAATCGGAATCGGGTTGGGTTCTTCATTGGCGCTGGAACCGCATTATCTATAAATATCGCTAGTGGAATTTATGGGCGAGTCTAAACCTGTCGAAAATTGATTTACGACCCATGAGTCGACAGCGCTAACCATGCGATCCGGGCAAAGTGAGTAAGATATTGGCGGAATGTCTCACAAAATACCAGCTGTCCCATACACCTGTCCTTAGAATGATTGAGGCTCCATTAGCTTTCCAAACAAGTGGACATAAAAAATATACATTTGTATTTATAACGCCTTCATTTTGCAATCCAATTCATTAGGCAAGGTGTGAATAAATATACTGCAGCCATAAAACGATCGTATAACTATAATAACTATAATAAGAGCAGAGGGAAATTAAAATGCTCATAAACGGGGGAAGAGTTTAGTAAATAAAGTAAACCAAATAAATTATTAGAACTTGTTCTAATTCTACCTAGATTCCTATGGTAAAAGCTTCTCATTTCCTCCTAAAACTGCCAATTAGATTGGAAAATAAAAGTCTGCATTGCAAAGACTTGATCTGAAACCATGCCACTGCAAAATATAATCATGATTACGTTGATAATTCCAAGGAGACATAGGTTCGTCTCTTTACGAGGCCGTCAAATCTTAATGAAAATCAATAAAAACGCTGGCTTGGTTCCCAGATTCAGATGGTTAATAAAGCGATTACTTATCGGGCGTACGTATCAATTGGCATTACTTACGAGTGCCCAGAGTATCCATCTGCGAGTCCCTCGAAGAACTGCAAGAGAAAAAGGAAAGGAAAGATGGCATTAAAAATCTTCGCATGGCTGTAAAAATTATTCAAATTGAAAATTGTCAATTAATGCACTTATTCCAAGACAGCGAGACTTTGGCTGATAAGGCGCAATGAACCCGGGGCACTGGCATCAATTTCAATAACTCGAAGGCGGAGATTTTTAGGCAGCTCCACGGGGGAGGAGGGGTAATTTATGCATTCTTTGTTCTGTCTACATGCCACTCGTGATATTTCATTTAAAAAACAACAAGGGAAACGGCTCAGAGACATATATATATATATATAATATAGTATATGTGTGTATAAACAAACAAGTTAAACGTGCACTTGGCATGACAGACAACGAAAACCGAGGGAAATGGGCTTGGGATTGGGATTGGGTCTGTGATTGCGTTTGCTTTTGCTTTTGCGATTGCGGTTGCGATTGCCGAGTGACCACAGCGTTCCGAATATGTAAATGCAGTCTCGCCCATAAGGCACTCGAAATTGCCATAAATAAGCAGCGCCGGTGACAGGCGTCATTTTCGAATTCCTGCGGAGACACGATTCACTCCGATGTCACTCCATTCCCGGCGGATAGGATGCGTCATTAGCCCCTAGATTGTATGCTGCCCGGCCAAGAATAGTCGAGGCACTCACGTCACGCTGGAAGTCAGGGGGTTTGGGCATATAGGGGCTTACTTTTTGCGACCTCGAAATCATAATTCAGCATTTTACGGCCTTTTAAGTGCCATTAAGTCAACTCTTTACTCGCCCGCGGCGTTCTGCCGAGGCCACTTTCGCTTTTCCTTGAACATTCGCTGCCGGCAATTAAACATTTTGTAATTGCAACTCTTTGACGTAGCAGAACGGAACCGAAACGAAACAAAACAAAACCAGCCGGAGCGATCCCGGGCAAAAAGAGAGGAACAGACCCCTACCAACTAGCCAAGCGACCATCCCTAGCGATTTGTGATTTTTTAGATTTTCACTCTATTTGCGGTGCTGCGCCCACACAGATACAGATACAGATACGGAATTCAAGGCACTGCGGCCATTAAAACGGCTTTATGGTCCCTAAAAACGAAAGCGAGAGTCTCGCCCAAGGAGGAACATGTGTAGCGGTGCGTTTTCCCTTTCCCTTTCCCTTTGCCGTTTCCATTTTCATTTTCCCAGCCACGCGGCGGAAGGATTAATATTTTTATGGGGCACTTTTCTGGCTGTTTGCTGAATTTTGCAACAAATTGTTTTACGGCCTGCGGATGGCTAAGCTCAAGTCTCCGGAAATTCTACAAGAGGTTGAAAGAAAATCCTTTTCCAAGGATATTTGCGCTTAAACGATTAGCAACTGATGCACTCTTGAAAAAGAAATGTATTATAGCTTTAATAAGATGCATATCTATACTATGACTTGACAAAAATAAACTTAATTATATTCTATCTTCTTTTTTAATCATCTTGTTTATTTTAACCAGGCTAAAATGTTTTTCTATATAAACATATAGTTTATTGCCAACTTTAGCTAGAACGACAGCCTTACTTAAGTAACATTTATATCGTTCCCTTTATGAATTCAGAAAGGTATTATCAATATCCAATAAAATCCCCATAGCCACATTTCTGTATTGTTTTTATGATGATTAGGTCATTGAAACCCGATATGACAAGCATTCGGCAAAGTGTCAAGCCAAATTGAAATTTATACACATTAAGAAGATCTTCCAAAACAATTTGTAGATTACCTAAGGCAATCTCATTAGCAGACGAATTTCAATGTTAACTCTGCAATTTCTATGCAAAATCGGTTTTTAAAAGTGTGAAACGGAACAAGCTAAAAATACTCATCCAAACAAAAGAAATATCAGATGTCGAATTCTGCGTTTCAAATGCTGCTCTGCTTACCTGTTCGTTAACCTGATAATGGGGTTATCTCGAACATAGGAATCCATCTTTAATTTAACCCTTCTTTTACCCGATCAAAGCCCCCCTCCTCTCCCCAATTTCGATCTCCCCCAGAGACGGGGAACGGCTGCCATTTATGTGCGGTTGGAAAGCGCCTAAAGTAAACATTTAATTGCGCCATTAATTGCGCGGTAAGTGTGCCAGATGCACATGCTCGTGCTGAAGGGGGCGTGCTGAAGGGGGCGTGGCAGCGGGGCTAAGAAAACAAACAAATTCCGACGGTTTGGTTAAGTGCCCAGCGGTGCACTCGAGAAAAACTCCACTCCATTCCACAGCACTCCGCTCTGCTCCTCCGGAAGACCCTAACCCGCTGACTTTTACGAGCATCGGAGTCTTCCATTAAGGCGGTCCGGATCCACTTCCCCGCTTTCTCCGGCTCCGATCCTCCATTTTCCCCACTCTCCATATTTCTCCACACTCACAAAAAATCAAGAAAGGAATTTATTGATACTCCATCTTTCACATAAGAAGTAAGTGGTCTCGAAACTGATTTAAGCTAAATTAACAGAAGAATGTACTAGGTTGTAAGCGAAATCGTTAACAATTAGAAGAAACGCAGTATTTTTTTCAGTGTAACTGGGGTCCACCTTGCACTCCGAGTTACAGTCGCTCGGCAACTTCTGGCGCATTAACTTTGTGTGTTTAATGCGAAAAATTATTGTCAATACAATCGACTTTTTATGATGCTTAAGTTGACAGTTTTTGTTGCTGTTCCTGTTTTAATATTAGCCCTTCTGACGTTCCTGTTGGATCACGAGATGATCTTCATCAAAGCCACACTGTAGTCCCATTTCCTTAATTATGATTCAATCAATGGAGAGTAAATAAACAGCGAATGAAGTTGGATCTGCTATTAGCCGAATTTAAGTAATGTTTGCTACAATGGTATTTCCGTTAATAATCCTAAAACTATTAATTATAATAAAGTATATTTATATTTTAAATGTGCTACAAGCAAAAGTAATATGCTTCCAATGCTTACAGTTCTCATAAATTAAAAAGAAGCAATTACAAATATGAATTAAATCTTTTGTACGACTCTTTTTGTTCTTGCACCATGCAGTTTTATTTGTAGCATAACTCTATATTTCTTAAAGATCATTAATTATAACTAGTTTACCCAACACCTGTACTAGATACCATACATTTTAGCAAATTAAAAGACCATATGTAGCTGGCAGGTGTAAAGCCCCAATGGTAACTATTTGCGTTAAGATCGAGCCCGATTACAGGGAATTTCATTTGCCAAAAATGAAACGACACACGACGCGCCGTATGGCGCCATTAACTTAATCGAACGGAAAACCAAACAAAAGCCGCAATTAACATTAAGCCCTTCGTCAGTCTGGTTTTTGCTTTTGGCTTTTGGGAACTGTTTTTGGGTTTCGGGTTCCTCACTTGTGCCTTTAATATGGCGATGAATGCTCCAGAAAACCTGCACAACCCGAGGGAATGTTGACTCTCCAGCGACTGCGTGTGTGTTTGCTAATTTGAAATTCTGTGGCGTAAGCAGAGGAACGCCCAATTCTCTGCCATCAACCCCGTGTGCCTGTGGAACTACATTAAATTTTAGAAAACACAAAATGCCGCTTTCCGTGTTCCTCGCTTGGCAAACAATTTCACATAAATTTACGTTGAATTACAACCGACAATGTGTACAAATGCACTGGGGGAGCGGAGAAGGAACGGGGACTCTTGCCAAAGTTGCGACTCGCTCTTGTGTTCTGCCATCTTTTTGGCAAGCCAGAAAATGTATTCCAGACACGCATCGGGCCATTTTGCAAACGTGCCACCGAATGAGGCTCAACTCCGGTCCCCGCATCCCCCGAATCCCCCGATTCCCCAAAAACTTGGCAAACACACAACCGCAACGACATCCGCCCACCCACTCAGAGGACCCAAAACTTTCCGGCTGACTTTGCTTTTATTTCCCGGCCCGCTTTCCCAGCCTCAAATCACGAGCCGAGCAAAGGACAAACTTTCCGCCGCTTTTTTTCGTTGCGAAAATAAGTAAAGTTTGAATTTGGCAGACATAAATTACTTCTGGGGGCCACATTCCCCAGCAGGACCCCCAGGAACCTAGTTCACAACAGTTCAGCCAAAAATATAGCGTGAAAAATTGAGACTATTTTTTAAAATGGCTATGTCTAAATATCTTTAAAAAAAAGTTTATTGTTTTAATGCTTGTATTTTTTCTAACAAGATTCATTCTGTGTGATTTTTAATGTGTTGTTAAATATTTTAAATCAGTCTTCCTAAACAATTATAAAGTATAACATAATAATGGTTTCGTTATAATTGTAAGACATTAAGATGTTATTAGCATTTTAATGGCTGATGAAACTGTATTCGTAATTTATTATTATTTAAATAATTAATAAAGGTTCTATGCTACTTTTTGTTTGGAAAATAGAAATTCTGCCAGCACCTCTGAAAAAGAAGCCAATTTCTCCATAAGGACATGAACTTAGTTTTCCATATTTTTTCCTGCCTCACTTTTTCTACATTTTATAATCGCCGGCTTTGCAGAATATATGAAATAAATAAATAATAAAATACACGGGCTGTGGGGAGTGGCAATGGCAGTGGGGCGGGGAGCGGAAATAGGGGGTTGGGGAGTGGGCGTGGCGAGGAATGCCATTTGCTTGCCTCCCAAAAGTTTTGCTCTTATTGCAGCTGTCGGACTCGAGATACTTTGGCTGGGTAACTTATGGGTACTGGATACTGGGGAAAAGGGAGCCGGCAAGGTGAGCAAATTGCCAAACGGGGGATGAGGATGAGGATGCTGCCCACCTTGGGAAGCCGGCGTGTAATTTGTATCTAATCTTGCCTCATGTTTATATAAAAGCAACGAGGCAGCGGCAGCGGCAGCCGGGGAAACTATTTGCCCCACACAATTTCTGCAATATGGCGATGGCTCAAACTCAAACAGGAGGGTGAAGCCGACTGCCGACTGCCGACTGTCGACTGTGGAGTCCCTCCTTTCGTCCTTGTCCAAGTTGCGGGTCTAAGTGGAACCACATACATATATTCATGGCCAA